TATATATATATATTGTTTCTGAAAGTCCAAAATTAAATTGTATTCCTAGAAAAGGTAATGAGATTCTAAGAAGGTTCTTTAAAATTTTCTAAAGAAGAAGAAGAAGACCGCTATTATATTTTATATGAAAAAGTCTTGCAGTTGCAACAAATGTATCCATTTGTATCCACATAAAAACATAATGTATTTTTATTGTTGTCACATTGTATGGTGTGCTCCCCTGTCTCTGTCAAACTGGTTTCTTGTCCCATTCTTTCGTGAGCATTGGTGGCAGCATCGGCACAGACCGATTTTTCGTTTATCGGCCGAAAGCCCGTCTATGGCCTGCATTAGGAGGAAAGCTCACAGAGCCTCTACTGGCAGTCTGAAGGGGTCTGGGTCATGTTATTACATAAGACACTGGAAGTAGGTTATTTGCATAAAACAATCATTGCTATAGTTTTAAAAAAAATTGGCTGCAATTTCCTGTTTTAGGGTGAGTTCTACTTTAAGCTAAAGATAATGCTTATTGCTGTTTATAGTGTAAGGCATTCCATAATCACTGAAAGCATTCATGTGTGAGTTGATTCAATATGTAAAATGTATAATGACACAATTCCATTTTTTCATTATTGGCCTCATTCAGCTATGTAAAGAGCAGTGGTGAAGTGCAAGCTGCAGTAAACCATTGCAACCAATCTATTTTCTGTAAACTAAAGTCAGGTCCCTGAAAGTTTACTTATTTCTGGTTGCTATAGGTTACTGCACAGTACCTTGCCTTGCTAAACTCCTATGCAACTTACAATAAAAAAATCTTCTTAGGACCAAAACAAGCAGCTTAAAATGCAATACAATAACGCACTAATTTAATTTACTGAAAGAGCCTAGAAGGTCCCTCGCTTTTGTTAAGTTAGAATTCATAATTCTGTTTAAAGTTCTCATATATGAGCTTGTAGTAAAGTATGGTAAAACCCATGTACCTGCAATGCACATTTATGGGTAGTATATGCCCGCTGTGCTGTTGCGCTTTATTCTGAATGGCGTACAAAACGCCCCCCAGAAATGTCATTTTCTGCATGTATGATTGGCTTACTGATTTTCCCAGAAGTCTGCACTAAGATACAATTTAAATTTTGGGCATCTCCTGCAACAAAAATGTCATTTTTGGTGAGGTGCTCCCAAAGCAAAATCATGTCTAAAGGGATGCAGACCCTGCCACTGTCCTGATTAGAGCCCTATAAGTGTTTGAAAACACATCAGATCTCAGTGGGGAAAAATATCATGCTGGATATCTATACTGATATGGACTGGGTAATGTGTTAGGAATGTAAGGATGCCCCATTGTTTAATGGAAATGAAAATTATCAACCTACAGAGGACTGAATTCAGAGATACCCCGAAAATCAAAGTGAAAAAATGATGCAGCAGGCTAGTCCATTTTGCTGAAATTTCATTGTAGCAAAGTAGTTTGTATGGCCCCCACGTGCTTGTATGCAAGCCTGACAACGTCGGGGCATGCTCCTAATGAGACGACGGATGGTGTCCTGAGGTATTTCCTCCCAGATCTGGACCAGGGCATCACTGAGCTCCTAGGCAGTGCAACCATGCGGCATCGGATGGACCAAAACATGATTTCCCAGAGGTGTTCTATTAGATTTAGGTCAGGTGAGCGTGGGGGCCATTCAATGGTATCAATTCCTTCATCCTTCAGGAACTGCCTGCATACTATTGCCACATGAGGCTAGGCATTGTCATGCACCAGGAGGAACCCAGGACCCACTGAATCAGCGTAGGGTCTGACAATGGGTCCAAGGATTTCATCCCGATACCTAATGGCAGTCAGGGTGCTATTATCTAGCCTGTAGAAGTCTGTGCGTCCCTCCATGGATATCCCTCCCCAGACCATCACTGACCCACCACCAAAACAGTCATGCTGAACGATATTACAGGCAGCATAACGTTCTCCATGGCTTCTCCAGATCCTTTCACATCTCTCACATGTGCTCAGGGTGAACCTGCTCTCATCTGTGAAAAGCACAGGGCGCCAGTGGCGGACCTGCCAATTCTGGTGTTCAATGGCAAACGCCAATTGAGCTCTATGGTGCCGGGCAGAGAGCACAGGGACCATTAGAGGATGTCAGGCCCTCATGCCACCCTCATGAAGTCTGTTTCTGATTGGTCAGAGACATTCACACCAGTGGCATGCTGGAGGTCATTTTGTAGGGCTCTGGCAGTGCTCATCCTGTTCCTTCTTGCACAAAGGAGCAGATACAGGTCCTGGTGATGGGTTAAGGACCTTCTACGGCCCTGTCATGCTCTCCTAGAGTAACTGCCTGTCTCCTGGAATCTCCTACATGCTCTTGAGACTGTGTTTGGAGACACGGCAAACCTTCTGGCAATGGCATATATTGATGTGCCATCCTGGAGGAGTTGGACTGCCTGTGCAACCTCTGTAGGGTCCAGGTATCGCCTCACGCTATCAATAGTGACACTGATCCTAGCCAAATGCAAAACTAGTGAGAAACAGTCAGAAAAGATAAGTAGGGAAAAAAACTGACCAGATCAATAATATCCCAGGAGTTTAATTGACTTGATGCTATACTCCGATTAAAAAGTGTTCCTTTAATTTTTTTGAGCAGTATATATATATATATATATATATATATATATATAGTCACTCCCAGTCAAATTCGCTTTGTACATGGACACAAACAAACAGCTATTTCTTCAGAATAACTAAAGGTAGGAATCTGCAACAAAGTTTGTTAAAATCCCCTCGATGTACAGTGGGGCAAAAAAGTATTTAGTCAGCCACCAATTGTGCAAGTTCTCCCACTTAAAAAGATGAGAGAGGCCTGTAATTGGCATCATAGGTAGACCTCAACTATGAGAGACAAAATGAGAAAAAAAATCCAGACAGTCACATTGGCTGATTTGGAAAGAATTTATTTGCAAATTATGGTGGAAAATAAGTATTTGGTCAATATCAAAAGTTCATCTCAATACTTTGTTATATATCCTTTGTTGGCAATGACAGAGGTCAAACGTTTCCTGTAAGTCTTCACAAGGTTGGCACACACTGTTGCTGGTATGTTGGCCCATTCCTCCATGCAGATCTCCTCTAGAGCAGTGATGTTTTGGGGCTGTCGCTGGGCAACACGGACTTTCAACTCCCTCCAAAGGTTTTCTATGGGGTTGAGATCTGGAGACTGGTTAGGCCACTCCAGGACCTTGAAATGCTTCTTACGAAGCCACTCCTTCATTGCCCGGGCGGTATGTTTGAGATCTTTGTCATGTTGGAAGACCCGGCCATGTTTCATCTTCAATGCCCTTGCTGATGGAAGGAGGTTTGCACTCAAAATCTCACGATACATGGCCCCATTCATTCTGTCCTGTACATGGATCAGTCGTCCTGGTTCCTTTGCGGAGAAACAGCCCCAAAGCATGATGTTGCCACCCCCATGCTTCACAGTAGGTATGGTGTTCTTTGGATGCAACTCAGCATTCTCTCTCCTCCAAACACGACGAGTTGTGTTTCTACCAAACAGTTCTATTTTGGTTTCATCTGACCATATGACATTCTCCCAGTCCTCTTCTGGATCATCCAAATGCTCTCTAGCAAACTTCAGACGGGCCCAGACATGTACTGCCTTAAGCAGGGGGACACGTCTGGCACTGCAGGATCTGAGTCCCTTGCGGCGTAGTGTGTTAGTGATGGTAGCCTTTGTTACGTTGGTCCCAGCTCTCTGCAGGTCATTCACTAGGTCCCCCCGTGTGGTCCTGGGATTTTTGCTCACCGTTCTTGTGATCATTTTGACCCCACAGGGTGAGATCTTGCGTGGAGCCCCAGATCAAGGGAGATTATCAGTGGTCTTGTATGTCTTCCATTTTCTAATTATTGCTCCCACAGTTGATTTGTTCACACCAAGCTGCTTGCCTATTGCAGATTCAGTCTTCCCAGCCTGGTGCAGGTCTACAATTTTGTTTCTGGTGTCCTTCGACAGCTCTTTGGTCTTCACCATAGTGGAGTTTGGAGTGTGACTATTTGAGGTTGTGGACAGGTGTCTTTTATACTGATAACAAGTTCAAACAGGTGCCATTGATACAGGTAATGACTGCAGGACAGAGGAGCCTCTTAAAGAAGAAGGTACAGGTCTGTGAGAGCCAGAAATCTTGCTTATTTGTAGGTGACCAAATATTTATTTTCCATCATAATTTGCAAATAAATTCTTTCTAAATCAGCCATGTGATTGTCTGGATTTTTTTTCTCATTTTGTCTCTCATAGTTGAGGTCTACCTATGATGCCAATTACAGGCCTCTCTCATCTTTTTAAGTGGGAGAACTTGCACAATTGGTGGCTGACTAAATACTTTTTTGCCCCACTGTACATAGAACACCTAGGGAGGAATATTTTTTTTTTATCAACAAAGGTGGAGTTACTAAAAGCTTATATGTTAAAGCTTTCACATTTGTTTGAACCAGTTCATGATATAGTTTATATATTCATGTTTTGCTAATGAAACAATTTAATATCAGAGAAAGCAATAATGCACTTACAGACAAGCAATTGTTATAGTTATTTTATTGAAAACTATTAATCTCTGTAAATCTTTAATAGTTTACACAGCTTGCAGTATTTGCAATGCTCTAGAAAAAGGACACAAAAGTCCTCGCAATCCAGAAAACCATCTGTTTTTTCTTACGATTCGTGCAATGATCCTGAAATTATTTTATTTGACTTCAGTTTGCTCCTTAAAAAAGTGTCCTTACTAAAGCCATGTTGGCATATTGTACTATACATATTAGTCTTCAGTCTGTTTCTGTACAGTATAAACACTGTCATGCTAGTAATACTTTAACATAATATTGGTTAATTTAACCTCGGTTGTCATTCATCGTTTCCTTGCACTCCAAGCACTTTTAAAATAACTGCAAAGGCTAAAATCCAAAAACATAAAAAGAATGTATTCACATATTTCTGTAGTTTATGTGCATGATAAGACATATTGTTCACGGACTGTCACACAGACACTGTAGCATAAAGCTCCGCTATCTCCACTTTGAAGAACTCTCGGAGTTCCGGTCTCTTCGCCTTCAGTGTTGGTGTCAATAATCCATTCTGTACGGTGAACATCTCTTTGTGGATGTGAATAGCTTTTACCTATAGTAATACATACACTGTAAGCATTGAATTGTGATAAGCACTTTTGGTTTGTATAGAAAAGGCAAAAGAAAAAAAGCAGCATTAAAAGAACAAGGAAGTTCTCCTTTTCCATTCTTTCCTATGGCTTGTCCATACTTTCTGTGGCCCTATGTCATCCAGAGGTGTTTGGAAGGAATGGGCCAGGCATGTATGCAGTAGTAGCTGCATATGTTCAACACTTTTTTCTGCACAGGCTATTTGTCACCACTAAAAATCGAATCATAATGGAAAAACATGGAATGGGTCTTTAAGAAGAATGTACCCAAACAATATATGCAACAGATCATATCTCTATAATTTCTCCTTTGACATATGGCTCCCCCTCTTTCTGTAGTTCCCATGCAGTATCATTAAGGAACTATTACTGTAAGGTCATGGACTGCTTGGGAAGAAAAAGAGCTAAACTATAAGCAGTAAGTTATGCAAAATGCATGCAGTGAATGAGCTTGCAGTAATTATATGTCTGTGGGTGGGATTGCATGGGGGGGGGGGTGGATTAATCCAAGGAGGCACCTGCAGAAGACAGCTTGGTTTGTCTTAATGGTAGGGGTGCAGAGGGTGGATAGTCTATGGCAACTCCTAAAGTATAACTCTAGCCAAAAGAGGTATTTTTTTCATTTTTTAGTGAAATGTTAAAAAATCAGGTTTTAAAGTGTTACTAAACCCAGGACTCTGCATTCACTATATCTGGTCTCCTACAGTACACAGAACTTGGAAGTGCAATTATTTTAGTAAATATAAATTGCTAAATACATTTCTCGTCAGCAGTTAGAGCAGTCTTGTGACTTCTAGCAGTGTCCAGCTGAGCGCTGGTTAAAGCTTGTAGGAGTTTTAATTTTGCTCTAGGAAGATGCAGAACCCCTGACCTCTGTCTGGACAGTGCTGATTGGCCCTGTGCTGATCACATGCACTCTCCCAAGAAAAAAAAAAAACCCTCTCTAGCAATAAACACCAAACTGAGCATGTGCAGAGTGTCTCCCCATGCTATGTCTTATCAAGAGATAAGAGGGAGGCACTGGAAGAAGGGGAGGATCAGAGAAGTCAGGATCAAACAGCCTTTTTACACAATGCATAGGATTATCCCCTTATGTTCCACAGTGAGTATAACAAGCATGCTTTACTGCATACACAGACTAATTTTACTGTTGTGGGTTTAGTAACACTTTAATGGTTGCCTTTGAAGTCCCAATTATTGTCTATTTGATGGGTTGCAAACAGAACAGGAAATGACAATTAATCTTTCCAGTGGACACAACAGCCATGTATTTTTTTTGTGGAGTGGGGAAGATTCAAACTTTTGTGACTGTCTGATTTTGGTGAACTCTCCATTGGGGAAGTTTGCCCAGATGAAGGGTGGGAGGGGGCAGAGAAAAGCTCAGTTTTTCACAAGAACATTTAAAATTTTCAGAATTTTGAGCCAGCTGCCTACATGTCTTAATCGTTATAGTCTTGAACCTACCAAAAACGTTGACATTCAAAAATTAACCAAAAGAAACCTATGCTTACACAATTTGGCATTCTACAAAATGGCATTGCTATATGCCAACTAGAATGAGGTATTTAAAACTTGTATATACTTTGAGCTCTTTTTTTTTGTAATAAAGTCCATTATTTGTTTTTATATTGGACTAAAAACATCAGAAAATGCAAAAAAAGTTTTTTAAAAATGGAAAATGATAGATTAGCCCAAAAACAAATTTAGCAAACTGTGTTTTAAAATAGAGTTAATACCTAAGCAAAGTAAATCCAAAAATGAGCAGAAATCCCAGTTCACAGGTTTATAACCAATAGCTGACACGTTAGCAATGTTCGTTACCACCCAAGCTACAGCATGTATCATTCTGTGAAAGCTTACTTTATGAAGGCACATCTGCATATCTTTTCTTACCTGTTCAAAAGAATGAAGCCCACTCTCCTTTCCTAATCTCACCATATCGGCCATTATTGCTTTCTTGAGTTCCTAAAAGATATTAGAAATATATTCTCACTTTTAACCCCAATAGTGGGATGATCACTTTTTAATTGTAAGTTAATAAAATAATCATTTACCATACACATGCACATTTCCTGTACCTGGACAATATTCAGTTGAAGTTATTCCCCTTGAATAGTGACTGTTCCCTGAGCTTTGTAAATAAAGTTAAGATAGGTTCACTTTAATCAACCAATCATGTGCTAGCAAAAATAATGCTTTTTTTAATACTTTCCATTGTGAATTTAAATAAAGGAATATCGCTAAAACCACAAACTATTCCTAATTTAGTGTAGAAACATTAGTGCAAAAGATATATATATCTATTCTCAATTAATATCAAAAAATATCAAAATTATGTGCAAAACTATTTTTTAGTGCATAAGTAATTTAAATAATTAAATTTGTGAATATAAAAAATGTCCAATTCTGAATTTCTTCAAATGTCCAAACAAATCCTTTTCAAATTCAGGTGCTCTCAAAGAAATTGTGCCAAAATCCACCACCAAAGTAAAGTTGGGTAACTCACCAGAGCTCCATGCTGATCAATCTCTAGATCAGCAAAAAATGCTTTTTGCTCTGGGAGCAGATGCAATGAATCAATTTCTCAGGTGTGATGATCAATAGCTACACAATCATCCATAAGGTAGGTATCCACCACTCAATATAATGGTTCCAGGAGCATTATATCACTCTCTCTTTTTATATCTCTCCACCGAGGTCATGTTTGGGAATGAAAGAGAAAATCATGGTGCAGCCAGTTTTTTTTTATAAAAGTTTCCAACAATTTAATAAAGATTTACACTCACAAAAAGGGTGTCTTCACCGACACCAGTAAAACAGCATAGATCAGCAAATGGTATAACAGTCTCCTGTTCCCCTCACATTCACTACAGCGCTCATGACTCAATTTTCTCAGACGTCAACAGATCAACATCCAGCAAGCCAAGCCTTACTAGTTTCGTCATGAATGACGTCTTCAAGGGGCGGTCCCTTGAAGACGTCATTCATGACGAAACTAGTAAGGCTTGGCTTGCTGGATGTTGACGTCTGTGGAGAAAATTGAGTCACGAGCGCTGTAGTGAGTGTGAGGGGAACAGGAGACTGTTATACCATTTGCTGATCTATGCTGTTTTACTGGTGTCGGTGAAGACACCCTTTTTGTGAGTGTAAATCTTTATTAAATTGTTGGAAACTTTTATAAAAAAAACTGGCTGCACCATGATTTTCTCTTTCATTCCCAAACATGACCTCGGTGGAGAGATATAAAAAGAGAGAGTGATATAATGCTCCTGGAACCATTATATTGAGTGGTGGATACCTACCTTATGGATGATTGTGTAGCTATTGATCATCACACCTGAGAAATTGATTCATTGCATCTGCTCCCAGAGCAAAAAGCATTTTTTTTTTGCTGATCTAGAGATTGATCAGCATGGAGCTCTGGTGAGTTACCCAACTTTACTTTGGTGGTGGATTTTGGCACAATTTCTTTGAGAGCACCTGAATTTGAAAAGGATTTGTTTGGACATTTGAAGAAATTCAGAATTGGACATTTTTTTATATTCACAAATTTAATTATTTAAATTACTTATGCACTAAAAAATAGTTTTGCACATAATTTTGATATTTTTTGATATTAATTGAGAATAGATATATATATCTTTTGCACTAATGTTTCTACACTAAATTAGGAATAGTTTGTGGTTTTAGCGCATTCCTTTATTTAAGTTATAGCACTAAGAAATTTATTTGGTTTCTTTGAGGTGGAATTGCTGCTTTAAAGTATTAAGGGTGTGGCGCTTTTATTACACTTGTGATATTTTCCATTGTGAATGACTGGGTAATCAGTCTATTTACCATCATTCACTTTGCAACATGAACATACCAATTGCAGAGTGAACCTTCACATTGTAGAGTGTATAACCTCTACTTCTTTAACAACTCAACCCCCTTATGTAAAATGTGTATTGCTGGAATATACAGTATTTTAAGAAAAACTTGCTACTGCTCATGGAACAGCTTTCATAGGAAAGATAGTTCAACCATGGAATAGGCTTTAGAGTCGTTTCACACGACGATGCTTCAATCAGCACAGTATCCATGAGCAGATCCCGTTCTGAATTGAAGCTGTCAGTTTTGTGATATCTATGCCCATTCAGTTTGCATCTGCATTTTCACAGTGGACTGTGGTGGAGCTGTGATGGTTCTATCAGTGGCTGTATGTAAATTAATTTATGTCTGTTTACATCAGGCTGTCAGTGCTGGGCTCCTACTTTTTCATGAGTAGCTCTTTTCTTTCAGTGCTCAGAAGCTGCTCAGCTGTCGGTTAATTACCAGCCACTCGTTGTCTCCACAGTGATTCACCTGGATACCATTACCTGCCTTATTAGTCCAACCTACAGCCCTTCCTTTTTGCTATTTTAGCAGCTTAGCTCATTTCCTTCTTGCCTTTGCCTGCTCTATGATCTCCATTGTGTTCCGGCCTGTGATCCTGTGTACAACTCGGTCTGGCTGACTTCTACTCTGGTTACTTTTCCTGATTTTTGCCTCCTGACTACGCTGACTTCTGGTGTCCTGACCCTGGCTTGTCTGATTATCCGCACTGGCATCCAAACCCTGGCTTCTGATTTGACTACGTTCCTGATCTATGTTATATTTACTATTTCATTAACGGTGTGATTTTAACTGCACTTTCTGTCTTCGCCTGGTTTTTGGTTCCTGACACAGGCTACTACTGATCCATGATGTTTAGGTGCAGAAAAGTGGAAAAGGATGCCATCTGGGCAGACTCGGGGGTAGGCGGATGTAAATGGATGCAAGTCTGGTTACATCAGCCTGCCCATAGAGCTGCATGGAGTTTCTGAGCAGATCTGCTTGAGGTGAAAGCGGCCATCTCAGCTCTAGCTGAGATTTTTGCTAAGAATAAGGGCCCAAAGTGCATTGAAAATTAAATAAAACCCCTTTTTATGAGTTAAACTAATACATCAATAAACAAAGTTGTACTTTTATTTAAAGGTACAGTAGATATTTTTGAGTCCGTTTTATTTCAGGTGAATTTGCAAGGGATTCAAAAGGCCCATCTCTTCGGTTAGAGGATGAGGCAGAAACTTATTGTACTTTAACTGTGGACAGGCAAGATGCACATAAACCCCACCTCATTGCTGGGGTTCCTCTTTGGTTAGGAGAGGTGCCTTTTATGGGATTATGAATGGCATGCAAGCTAGTATCAGCAAGGCGAAGGTTCCATATACTTACATCCCTCCAGCAATAAGGATACCAGCACACATACTTGGTGTTTTCTTTGGTAAGGATACTCTTCTTTAATGTAAAAAAAAAAAAAAAAACAATAAAAAAATCCCACCACACCAACTACTCCGAGTTCCTTTTTTCAGACTGGAGATTGAAATTGGAGTGGTTGCTATGGGTCCTTTATAGATACTTTATTAATTTTATAAACCTTTGGAAATGTCAAAGCTAACCAGTGCTCAGGATTGCTACGTTTTGTTAATGGGATTTTTTTTCCCCTTGAATCAGGCACATCAGATTTAAGGTTTACAAGAAGAAGGCTTATGTCACAAGAAATATTTTCATATCTAAAATCCTATTACAGGAAAAGATATTCTCCAAATACTGTTGGTCTAACAGGATCAGGACATTTCTAGTTGGTTTTCACAATGTACAGTTTGGTGAGGAAATGTGGGCTATTTATTGCTCAAAATATGCCATCAAGCTAATTACATGCCGAAGAAATGTTAAATGGAAGCAGCCTTTCACTATTTTCTGGGCAGCATGATCATTGTTGCTTTGGTGAGGCTGATTTACAAAAGGATTGGAGAATATGTAAATATTCACTTCAATTAATTCTCACCTAATGTGAGAACATGTGCCTCACTGCACCATAGCAGGTAATTAGCCTGGTACTTGGATTTTTTTTGTATCAGAATAGATGATACTTTTTTTAATGTTAGAATAAATAAATTCATACCAAATTGTTGCATAGTTCTACAAATGATCCTTCAAAACCTTTCTTCTTTGCCCATCCTGGCATCACTTCAGTATCAGGAACAACAATTCCAACCAGAAATGCCTTTAATTACAAGTCAAAAGATGATCATAGAAAAATGAAAGTTGATTTTCAAGATAAAAATGGCAAATATTAACATATTAAAATAAAACCTGTGGCTATGGTTGGATTTATGGCTGTGGTGCGCATTGCTGAATCACCCAATGACCTCGTTTCCTTCAGTCCCTGGTTCTTTCTTCTACTGAATGGGTAGTAGAATTGTATTGCATTTTTTTAGGCCTTGACATAGCATAACTGCTTAGCTAACAGTGTCTAAGTGCTTGCGAGTATGGTTAATCTTGGTTTTATTTTCTGTATATTTATTCATTTTTTCAGAATTTCTATAAGTAGCACTTTTGAAATATGTAAAGATATTAATTATACCGTTAGAATCTTCTTTATTCAAATTCATTACAGAAGTTTAAGGTAAACATTGTACAGCATTACACTTTCTTAGAAAGTTTATAACAACTGGGGATGTTTACACTGGTGAGCCTCCTCTTTCTACTTATAACAGAGAAAGGAGAAGGTAATGAATGACTCATTGATTTGTTCCAGATTAGCAGTTGTAACAGACAGTCAATGTTATGGACAGTTTTTAAGGTATCTTCAGCACAAGGCATTGGGGTGAGAAGCGTTAACACAGGGAATATGAGCAGAAAGTGGTTAAAGCCAAAGTAAGTGCTTTGATTTATTACAAGGGGCATTCAAGTCAAACCAGGACTTTTTAGTTTATATAATTGAAGAACAAATTTCAAGGAGTGGAAACTGCATTTATTTTTCTACATACTCCCCTGCTATATTTATACGCTTATCCCAGTGTTTAACTAATGCCTAGAAAGCTTTGGCATAGAAAGATTTGTCAGCACGCCTGAACACCATCCTAGGACAGCCTGCTTCACTTCGTCATCAATGTTTTCACCATTCCCACAGAAAGATTTGTGTCTTGTGCAATTTCAACATCATGTCGATTATTCAGGATCAGGTGTTCCACGAGCTGAATGTTCACAGGAATGACTGCTGTTGGCAGGAACCACCATGGCCAGGATCATCACTGACAGATGTACGGCCATCTTTGGAACATTTACAACATTCAAATGTCTTACTGCAGCTGAGTGTCTCATCACCGTACTGTGCTTGAAGTCTTTTGTAGACATCCGTAGGTTTTACGTCTACGTTCACAAGAAACTTCATCAGCACACAATGTTCCATGCATACACTAACACTGTTGTCCACCATCTTGATTAATGGTCTTTGGACTAGCCGGCAACATGTGCGCTGCCTATCAGTAATAGAATAGACTTGTCACTTGCTACTGTGTGTAGTACTACCATACTAGCATCCAATGTTACAGCTGTAAAATTCAAAGTCCCGTTTGACTTGAATGCCCCTCGTATATCCAAGGGAAGTATTAGATTTGCTACTAAACATTTAATGCTAAGGAATGTACAGAGAACAAGACAGAAAATGTTACCATCAGTTTAGGAAAGGGTTGGTTACAGTAAGAGTGGCTACTCCGTGGAATACTTTATCATATACATTATATATGGCAAAAAACGTAATTACATTTCTAAAAAGAAAAGATGAGTTTCTTACAACAAATAATATCCATAGTTATAATTGCCACAGGATAATATGGAAATATTTTGATTCAGAAAACATTGCCCCTCAGGCAGTTGCTCAGGGGTTTTATTGTCCCTGGATCAAATTTGCAGCTGTGAGAGGTTGAACATAATGGGAATGAATCTATTTAAACTGTATACATTTTTTAAAATTATTTACAAAGTATATTTATTACAGAGCCATCTTACCTGAAGGCTGTCCCCATGAACATATATTTGGGATACAGGTTCACTGCGAATATAAATGTTTTCAATCTTCTCTGGTGCTATGTATTCTCCTTGTGCAAGCTTGAATATGTGCTTTTTTCTGTCTATGATCTTTAGCGTTCCATTCTTTATTATGTAGGTAAAAAGATACTGGTTAAACATATAGAATAATATTAAGAGCCCTGATATTTCGACATTAAAGGTGAAAATTGGTAACATAACCGGAAGCCATTTTCCTATGTCTCCAGTGTACAGCCAGCCACTGTCATCTAATGCTTCTGCTGTCTTTTCTTTGTCTTTAAGATACCCTTTAAATACATTTGGTCCTTTCACACATATCTGAAAGAGGCACAAGTGTTACTGGGAAAAAAATAGTCAGGCATGGATAGGCTAATTTGGAAGAATTTTGCATTTTAAATTATACTTGTCATGAGGGAATTCTGGAGGATTTTAAAAACCAAACTCAACTTTTGAGTTGAGTAAGGAAGCGACTATGCTCACCCTGCTATATAAATTTAGCACCAGTAAAAGAAAAAAGGGGAACGTGGTCACTGACATGGGAAACCTCACAAATGTTCTAACCCTAACCCTTCGCTACTAAACTTGGTGCTTTACTTTCCACAAGGGTTACTGAGCTACTGAAAAAAAACCATCCATGGCTGGATCTAGAGGGGTGCAAGGGTGGGCTGCATTCCCCAGATTTCAGTTGCGTCCCCCCAGGCAACCACCTCCCTCATGGATGTTGTGCCTGGGCAGGGCTGCCAACCATCCATCAGGAAAAGCTGGAGCGGTTGATTGTCAAGGCTGAGTGTCTATGCCCAGCTGGCATAACCCCCCCCCCCTCGTTCCCCACAAACAGGAGAGGAGAGAGGGCTCCATCTGCTTCACCTCCTCCAGCTCCCATCTCCTGTATCTGCCATGCCCACACTGCAATCCCTGGTGTGCAGCCAGTGCTGTGGTGCCAGAGAAAAGGGAAGTGTGGGCAGGGAATTTGAAGTACAGCAGCCAGCAGCTACATGGTGTCTGCATTACTGATGCCCCTGTGTAGGTCTGCAGATATCAGTCTGGGGTGAGTGAGCATTTCACTAAACTCTTCCCATCTCCCTTCTCTCCCCCATCTGTTTTCCCCCAATCTTCCAGGAGCTCTGCAAACTTGCCTAGTTGATTTCATGTCAAGTTAGGACAACTGAACTCTGATGGATTCTGATGTAAGGGGATACTCCACTGGATTGAGATGTAGGAGATGTAAGGAGGCAATCTGCTGGATTCTTATGTAAGAAGGTACTCCACTGGATTCTGATATAAGGAGACACTTTCCTGGATTGTGATTTAAGGGGGCACTCCGCCATATTCTGATATAAGGGAGCACTCTGTCAGATTCTGATGTAAAGGGGCACTCTGCCAGAGTCTGATGTAAGGGGGGACCCCACTGGATTCTGCTGTATTGGGGGCACTCTGCCAGACTCTGAAGTAAGGGGGCATTCTGCTGGATTCTAGTGTAAGGGGGGATTCTGCTGTAAGGTGGGACTCTGCTGTAAAGTGGGACTCTGCATATTCTGATGTAAGGTGGTATAACTCTGGGGACACTGTTGTAAGGTGGGAGACACGGATATAAGGAGGGGCTCTGCAAACTCTGATGTAATCTGGGGACTTTGGAGACATGGATTTAAGGGTGGACTCTTATGTATAGGGGGGATGCTGGGGGACTCTGATATAAGGGAGGACTCTGATGTGAACGTGGAGCTCATCCTGACTGCTGCACTCCATATGTTGTTTTGTTTTTTACATTTTCCTGACGGTTGTACTCTATACATTATGCTGTATATAGTCTTGAACAAGGTATTAATTATCTCAGTAATGTCTCAGTAATTGTTGGTATTATTAAAGTTCTTCTTTAAGGTAGGCTCAATAAGGCACCCCATACATCAGTCAGTTTTCTGTTCAACCAGCAGGCTGAACGAAAAAAAATGAGCCGATTCCCCCCGTCCACGCTTTCAAGATGGATGGGGGAATCACTCCAGTCGAGGTATTGTGTTCTGATAGCGGGGAGATTTCCCTATCATCAGAATACACTGATCACTGCTGCCAGCCACAGCTGGTGCTGCTGATTGAGTGGAATTTTTCCTAAAAGCTGGTTGTGCAGTCGATCAGTAGATTCACTTCTGTACAACCAACCTGCCCATACATTGTGCGAAATTCGGCTCGTGCCTAAGACAAAAATATCCTTTTTGTATGCACAAAAACATATGTAATGGAAACGTTTAACCGCTTGCCACCCTGCCACTGTGTATATATGTGTGCAGGGCGGCAGTGGAGCGCAAAACCACGTTTTAAAACGGGTTCCGCGCTCCCAACACTTTCGCCGGCAGGGGGCGCGCGCGCGCGCTCCCGTCGACCCGCGGGTGACACGATTTGATCCAGGAGGGATCAATCATTAGATTTCAGCCAGTGATTTCTGGCTGAAATCACATGATCGGTCCCTGTCCTATCCTGTCCTGTGTTGACAAATCACAGGGCAAGATATGATGTCATTCTTCTCTGCCTGGACACATTCCGTTCCAGACAGAGAAGAAGACATCCAAAAAGTGAGTACACAAGCACTACACTACAGTTAGAACACTCTAGGACACATTTAACCCCCTGATCGCCCCCCCCCCCCAGTTAACCCTTCACTGCCCTGTCACCAGTGTCACTGATCAGTGTCGCTGGCGACTTCCGATAGAGTTAGCTCCCCTCCCAGATAGCGCCAGATTGCCCGCCAGTACACCAGTAATCCCGTTTAACCCCTTGATTGCCCCCCTCCAGTTAACCCCCTTCACTGCCCTGTCACCAGTGTCACTGATCAGTGAACCAATTTTTTACTGATCACTGTATCAGTGTCGCTGGCGACTTCCGATAGAGTTAGCGCCCCTCCCAGATAGCGCCAGTTTGCCCGCCAGTACACCAGTAATCCCGTTTTAACCCCTTGATCGCCCCCCCCCCCAGTTAGCCCCTTCACTGCCCTGTCACCAGTGTCACTGATCAGTGAACCAATTTTTACTGATCACTGTATCAGTGTCGCTGGCGACTTCCGATAGTGTTAGCGCCCCTCCCAGATAGCGCCAGTTTGCCCGCCAGTACACCAGTAATCCCGTTTTAACCCCTTGATCCCCCCCCCAGTTAACCCCTTCACTGCCCTGTCACTAGTGTCACTGATCAGTGAACCAATTTTTACTGATCACTGTATCAGTGTCGCTGGCGACTTCCGATAGTGTTAGCGCCCCTCCCAGATAGCGCCAGACTGCCCGCCAGTACACCAGTAATCCCGTTTAATAACCCCTTGATCGCCCCCCCCCCCCAGTTAACCCCCTTCACTGCCCTGTCACCAGTGTCACTGATCAGTGAACCAATTTTTATTGATCACTGTATCAGTGTCGCTGGCGACTGCCCCTGTCCACCAGTGACTTTCCGATAGAGTTAGCGCCCCTCCCAGATAGCGCCAGTTTGCCCGCCAGTACACCAGTAATTCCGTTTAACCCCTTGATCGCCCCCCCCCAGTTAACCCCTTCACTGCCCTGTCACCAGTGTCAATGATCAGTGAACCAATTTTTACTGATCACTGTATCAGTGTCGGTGGCGACTTCCGATAGTGTTGGCGCCCCTCACCCAGATAGCGCCAGATTGCCCGCTAGTACACCAGTAATCCCATTTAACCCCTTAATCTCCCCCCCCAGTTAACCCCTTCACTGCCCTGTCACCAGTGTCACTGATCAGTGAACCAATTTTTACTGATCACTGTATCAGTGTCGCTGGCGACTTCCGATAGTGTTAGCGCCCCTCCCAGATAGCGCCAGATTGCCCGCTAGTACACCAGTAATCCCATTTAACCCCTTAATCCCCCCCCAGTTAACCCCTTCACTGCCCTGTCACCAGTGTCACTGATCAGTGAACCAATTTTTTACCGATCACTGTATCAGTGTCGCTGGCGACTTCCGATAGTGTTAGCGCCCCTCCCAGATAGCACCAGATTTGCCCGCTAGTGCACCAGTAATCCCATTTAACCCCTTAATCTCCCCCCCCCCAGTTAACCCCTTCACTGCCCTGTCACCAGTGTCACTGATCAGTGAACCGATTTTTACTGATCACTGTATCAGTGTCGCTGGCGACTTCCGATAGTGTTAGCGCCCCTCCCAGATAGCGCCAGATTGTCTGCTAATACACCAATAATCCTGTCTAACCCCTTGATCGCCCCCCCCGAGTTGACCCCTTCACTGCCCTGTCACCAGTGTCATTGATCAGTGAACAGATTTTTACTGATCACTGTATCAGTTGTCGGTGGCGACTTCCGATAGTGTTAGCGCCCCTCCCAGATAGCGCCAGTTTGCCCGCTAGTGCACCAGAAATCCCATTTAACCCCTTGATCGCCCCCCTCCCACCCCCCCCAGTTAACCCCTTTCACTGCCCTGTCACCAGTGTCATTGATTACAGTGAACAGATTTTTACTGATCACTGTATTAGTGTCACTGGTGACTTCCGATAGTGTTAGCGCCCCTCCTAGATAGCGCCAGTAATTTTGCCCGCTAATGCACGGGATTTTTTTTTACCAAAAACATGTAGCAGAATACATTTTGGCTTAAATTTATGACTAACTTTGAGTTTACGATATATTTTTTATAGCTGAAAGTAGAAAATATTGTTTTTTTTCAAAATTTTGGTGTTTTTTTTGTTTTATAGCGCAAAAAATAAAAAGCGCACAGGTGATCAAATACCACCAAAAGAAAGCTCTATTTGTGTTGTGGGAACTCGCTTCAAAGTGGTAGAGCTTTTCAACGCAAACAGCTACTCGCTTCTTTAAGGGCCTTTTTGCCCAATTTTTATTTACAGAAAATGTCCCATAACATAATGCTTCCCACGCAGGGGTATCCACCAACAAAACAATGATTCAGTCTCCTGGCTTACACACAGTTCAATGTCTGTCTCCTGCAGACTCTTCCCAAATTATAGCCACTAGCACACAGCTAGTCTGGCTTCCACTTGACTCCAAGGCAGAGACCTCCCGTCTGCCAGGGTGGAGCCCTGCTGACTCCTAGCTGTCAGGGTGGAGCCCAGAACCCTGGTCCTGACCCTACAAAAGAGCCGTGCACACCTGTGCAATCAGTGTAATGGCCATTCCCAAAACCTGGTCCCAGGATTGGAGATTTCATCCCTCCCAGATCTCTTTGAAATCTCCAGGCTCCAGATCCCAAAACAGACCTTACAAACAAAGGAGGAAAGTGAAAAGCCACTTTCCTCCGTATCAAACACTTATACCCTGGAGCCCCTCAACCTGCCTTGTTGAGAATCCAGGGTGACAGATTGCC